TTAGATTTTGCTCTACTGCACCATGTTGTAGGAAACAGGAGACTTGTCTGGGAGGCACAAATCTCAACTTTGAACACTTAACCCCTACCCTGCACTCAGCCCAGATGTGGGACAAAGGACAATGCATGTCACAGTGCATCTGGCTTCAAACTTTCTCCCCAACCAGGAGGCTTTTATTGGGGCTTAGGTGGAAGGAGTGGGAAGATGATGGCATATAGGGAACTGGTTTAACAAGGTTGCCTTTCTTTTAAATCTTTTCTCATGACTGTATCAGAGCTATTGAATGAAATTAACAGCAGAGAACAGGTGGGTATGCTTGTCTTTAGCCCTGGCCCCTGACACCCCCAAATTGTGGCAATTGGTAAAAAAGATAAGAATGCACTGACACCTGGTTGAAACTTTATTCTCTTGTTTCACCATGTCAGCTATGCAAATATTCTACTTTCTTCTTCCTTTCCTTTCTTCAACTCAGCTGTGGGGTAACAGTCCCCTTCCTTTTTCAGATTGACCCTAAACACTAAGTCTTTTTTTGAGACAGAGCCGCAAGCTGTCGCCCTGGGTAGAGTGCTGTAGCATCACAGTTCACAGCAACCTCCAACTCCTGGGCTCAAGCTATTCTCCTGCCTCTGCCTCCCAAGTAGCTGGGACTACAGGTGCCCGCCACAATGCCCAGCTAGTTTTTGGTTGTAGCCGTCATTGTTGTTTGGCAGCCCAGGCTAGATTCGAACCCACCAGTTCAGGTGTATGTGGCTGGCTCACTAAGTCTTATGGGGGAATTTCAGGCAACATTAGAGGGGAAGCTGATGGGGAGGATATGTTAGGTGAGAAGAATCTAATCTCGATGGTCAAAGAAGTAAATTGATAAATTAAAATGTTATTAGGTAGGAAAGCTGTACATTGGGATGAAAAAAGTGACTGACTAAAGACTGATCATAAAAAAGAAAACCCATAACTCCTTGAGCTGGATCAATTCCAAAGAGAGCAGAAACAGAGGAATGATGTGTAACCTTATACTTTGACACCAATCTTTATTGCTATTTTTTTTTACCACTCCAAAAGTAAAATTGTAGACTATGGAGTGAAGGGTTATGTCTTTGTAAGACAAAAACTTAAAAATCAGAGGTGCAAGTGGCAGGTTTAAGAAATTCTTTAAAATATCTTTTAAAAAATTAAAAACAAAATCTTGGCTTGGTGCCTGTAGCTCAGTGGTTAGGGCACTGGCCACATATACTAGGGCTGGTGGGTTTGAATCTGGCCCGGGCCTGCTAAAAACAAGAATGACAACTACAAAAAAAAAAAAATAGCTGAGTGTATGGCAGGCACCTGTGGTCCCAGCTACTTGGAGGCTGAGGCAAGAGAATGGCTTAAGCCCAAGAGTTTGAGGTTGCTGTGAGCTGTGAAGCCACAGCACTCTACCAAGGGCAACATTGTGATACTCTGTCTGAAAAAAATAAAAATAAACCTTACAAGTAATTTAAAGTGGAATGGTGTTATGATCATATTTTGGCATGAATGAAACCTAAAATGCAAGAGTGCAGCTTGCTCTTTCTTTCTGACTGAGCCAAAGGCTATCCATCAATAAAATGGAACTACTGAATTAAAAGAAAATGACTCCCCTAATCCTACTACTGCTAAATGCCCAGATCTTTACAAGCACATTTGGAAAATAAGTTTGAGTAGTATATAAACTTCCAGTGGGCTTGTTATAAGAACAATCCTATTAAAGATGAACATATTTTATTTTTTTTACTTTTTTGAGACAGAGCCTCAAGCTGTCGCCCTGGGTAGAGTGCCATAGCGTCACAGCTCAAAGCAACCTCCAACTCCTGGGCTCAAGTGATTCTCCTGCCTCTACCTTCCAAGTAGCTGGGACTACAGGCGCTTGCCACAATAGCCCAGCCACTTTTTGCTTGCAGCTGTCACTGTTGTTTGGTGGGCCTGGGCTGGATTCGAACCCGCCAGCTCAGGTGTATGTGGCTGGTGCCTTAGCCACTTGAGCCACAGGCGCTGAGCCAAAGATGAACATATCTTAAAATTCCTAGTTTTATTTTTAAACACAAAAATCAAAATTGAGTTGGAAAATTTCTGGATAGTCACCAGATCTTCTGGAACATGATTTATTCCTTATACTTTTATGACATGTGGAGACAGTATCAATTTTGCAAAGTATATTAAGTGAAACAACCTTGCCCAGCAGAAGTCTATGTATTCATTTTTTCATTCATTCATTCAGCAAACATACTGAAGAGATACCATTTAGCAATTTTTTTGTTTCATTTTGTACTGCAGGCTTAGATACCCCATTTGCTTGCAATATATACTCAGCTGTCTGCCAGCTGTCATTCTCCTTTGCTGGGACAAAAGTGGGTTACTGCTAGCTGGTATTCTCTCCTCCCCACTCCCTGTCTTCCTACTCCCGTCCTAGTCTGGCCACTTCTACCCAGATCTGGTAGGTATAGTATAGATTTCTGTCCCAGATCCAAATGTCTTATGAAAGGAGGACAAATATCAATAAATTTCTCTCTGTGTAGTGAACTATGCATTGTAGGAGTATGGAAGAGGGAAACAATTGCTTGGAATGTCGAAGTTAGATGGGATAAGGCCTAAAGAACATGTACGTGCCCTGACAAGTCAATGAAGGGACAGCAAAAACCAGGCAGGACATATGAAATCACCACTATCCTAGAAAATGCAGTTGTTACCAAACTTACAAAGAATTTGTTAGTTCTCTTCAAATTCTCTAGGGGAAGCTTGAGAGGTGATGAAATTTCAAGAACTATTTAAATGAAAAGGGCTGGACAAACTTATAAGAGCATGCAAGAATGGGGAAAAAATAGGCCATAATCCAGCTACAGAAATAGGTACGGGAAAACCCCAGAGAATAAGGGAAGTGTACATTTGGTGAAGTACCCAACAAGAATGCACACAATTGCTTAATTCGAAGGGTAAGAAATTTTTCTATTCTTTTTGATTGCTTTGATTGGAGACACTTGATGACCACTAGTAAGAGCTACTAGTCATCACATAGCATATGTCTAACACATTGCATATATTATTTTGTATAAATCTTTTTTTTTTTTTTTGAGACAGAGTCTCACTATGTTGCCCTTGGTAGAGTGCTGTGGTGTCACAGCTCACAGCAACCTCAAACTCTTGTGCTTAAGTGATTCTCTTGCCTCAGCCTCCCAAGTAGCTGAGACCACAGACGCCTACCACCATGCCTGGCTATTTTTTGGTTGTAGTTGTCATTGTCATTTGGCAGGCCCGGGCTGGCGCCCTAGCCGCTTTGAGCTACTGGAGCCGAGCCTATTTTATATAAATCTTTACAAACTCCCTGCAAGGTAGGAATAATTCCCACTTTCTCAAGTGGAAGTTATCTTTAAAGTGATGTAGCTATCAATAGTGAATCCTCAACTGTTGACTACAACATATTTATTGTTTCAGATAAGAAGATGTCATGTGAATCTCCTCAAAGAGTTTTAAGATTGAGTGACTCTTACCAAGAGAAAGCTTCATAGGGTTGACAACAGTAGAAACCATTGCTGAAATCATGTCCCACACAGTCTTGAAACTTCAAAAAAGGCAGGGAATAGTAAAAATAAATAATTTAAAATTTTTCCAAATTTTTTTTAAAGATTGAGGGAAAGGAGAGTAAGGAATGAAAACCTTAAGGGCAGTGGATTGAGTGTATGATCCATCACAGTGGAAAGCCCCAGTGAGTGAGAGCATACAGATTTACATTCCAATCCTGATTCCACAGCCTTGGACCCAGCCCTCACCTTCTTTAGGCCTCATTTCCTCCTCAGTAATTTTTTGCTTTTGGAGAGGTGAGGGTCTTGTTATGTTGCCCAGGCTGGCCTCCAACTCCTGGGCTCAAGGAATCCTCCTGCCTCAGTCTCCCTATCTGCTGGGATATGCCACTGTGAATACCAGAGATATGAATTTTTAAGATTTTTTTAAAGTTAGTAAGATTATCTGAATATTTAAATTAAAATGAGAGCTTTTCAATTCTTTAATTCCCAAGGAGGTTAAGGAAGAAAGTATTATAGAAAACAGGGCAGGAAATGGAACCACCAATAGAAGGAGAGTATCATCATTCAGAATGCCAGAAATTCCCGGAGGATGACTTTGCAGCCCAGGGCTTTTCACTGATTCTCACCATACATGACTTGATTAATAGCTAAAGAACATCCTGGTCTCCATTCCTGCCATTAAGATAACTAACCTTTAATTAGCGATACATTCCTTATAGGTGGTGAGGTGGCCATCCAGTTAAGGTTATAGTTGAGGGCCAGACTCTCCAGGCAATTAGAACCCTGGGTTCAAAGGCAGTCCTGTCGCCTGCAAGGTGGCCTCCAGGGAGTTCACCTATAAAATGGATGCATTTTCTAACAGAGATGATCCAGTGCCCACACCAATGCGCGGTTGTCAAGATGATGGATAATCCATGAAAAATCCAAGAGCAGGGTACGTAGTAAGTCCCAACAAATGCTAGCCTAAAAATTAAAAAAGCATTTCAGGGGGATTAATAGACTTATTAGAATTAGCTGCCAAGTGACATCTTTGGGGCCCCCTTTTAAAGCAAAAACTAATTTCAATTTAAGTTTTCACAAATTCACATTTTTATGCATCTGATTTTAATGAAGTATGACCACAGTTTATGCTATTTACTTACACAGTCCTATCTTACTCATAACATCGGTGAGCCGTTTTTGATTTTACAAACTCCTAAACTGTCAACAAACAGATTGGGACAGCCCAACAGCCTGATTTAAAATCAGAGATGCTGGTTTTTCTGTGATAAGTTCTCGGTCGGCTTCAAAACACATTCTCTTCATCTCATTGAAGGGAGCGTTTCACCAACACCGTTTTCCGTCCGAGAGAAACACAGACTTGTGCTTGGAACTAGCAAGCGGCGAGTTGGAACCTCAGACTCGCGTGCCCATTACGTAACTCCACGGGCGCCGGGGCCAGGAGGCCAGATCCCCGAGCCCCCCCGCGGGGCGAGGGCTTAGGTTACCACACCGCGGTCCTCCAGGCCACGGCAAGTTTCGCCACTGGCTGTTCGGGACGTTTACTTTTGAATTTCCCTGAACCGCCGGGTGTGGACCGTGGCGCAGACCCGCCCCGGAAACCTCCGGGCTCCTTCCCGCCACTCGCAGGCCGGGCCCCTCTAGGGGGTCCCCACGGGGCGGCAGGAGGGCCCGAAGGGCGCGGCAGCGGGACCGCAGTCCCGGCCGCCCCTCCCGGCTGCCCGGGTTCCGACCCGGCCACGCCCAGCCGCGCGCGCCGCGCAGACGGTTGCCCGAGGGCTCGATTTTAAATTCACAGACCCGGCCCCTCAGCAGCAGGAGCGCGTAGTCCGCTCCCCATTGGCCGGTGGCGGTCACGTGGGCGCCCGCCATGTTGGGGTGTGCGGCGCGGCAGCCCGCGCCACCTCCGCCCCCAGCGGCTAGACTCCAGCCCGCCCCTCGCGGCCCTCCTCCCCCAGAGCCCGCCGCTCGGCGCAGCCTGAGAGGAAACAAAGTGCTGAGGGCAGGAGACTCCGCGGCGACGGCGGCGGCGCGCACCCTGCTCGGCTTCCCGGTCACCCTCGCCTCTCACCTTCCCGCGCGCGTGTCTGTGTGTGTGTGTGTGTGTGTTTTCTTACAAAGGACATTTTACGATCGGCTGATTGATTCGCGATCCTCCTCCTTTGCCCTTTGTGCTGTAACCCCGCTCCCGCCATCCCAGGTGCTTTTCCGCTCCTCCCATTGCCGGCCTCTGCGCGCGAGCGCAGGTGACCGGTTTGTGCCTTTGGTCCCCGTTTCGTCCCAGGGCTGCTCACGGCCTCGCCGCCCCACTCCCCGCCGGCCGCCTCCGCCGATCGTCCCGCCGCCCGCCATGGCGACCGCGACCCCCGTGCCGCCGGGGGGCGGCAGCCGCACTGGCGGCCCCTCCACGCCGCTGAGCCCCACGCGGCTGTCGCGGCTGCAGGAGAAGGAGGAGCTGCGCGAGCTCAACGACCGACTGGCGGTGTACATCGACAAGGTGCGCAGCCTGGAGACGGAGAACAGCGCGCTGCAGCTGCAGGTGACAGAGCGAGAGGAGGTGCGCGGCCGCGAGCTCACCGGCCTCAAGGCGCTCTACGAGACCGAGCTGGCCGACGCGCGACGCGCGCTCGACGACACGGCCCGCGAGCGCGCCAAGCTGCAGATCGAGCTGGGCAAGTTCAAGGCCGAGCACGACCAGCTGCTCCTCAAGTGAGTGGTCGCTGGCGGTCGCGTTAGCGCCCGCCGGGAGGGGCGGGGGCAGAGTACAGGCACCCCGGGGGTCCTGCCCCGGGAAGGGAGAGCCGGGGCCTGGGCGCCCTTGTGCTTGGGAAGGTCTCCATCTCCGGAAAGGGGAAAGAATCTAGGGTTCATAGCTGGGTGGGGGTCGCGGAGGCGGCTGGAGTTGTGGCAGTGGGGGGCCGTGATGCCCACGTCTAGGTTCTGGACACCCGGCAGGCCCACGGGAAGTGCGCGCCTGGGACGGCCGAGCAGGGGCGCCGGCTTCGGACCCCGGCTCCGGGGATCCAGAAGGGCTCTCGCGTGCGGAGAGGCGGCGCGGTGGCCCCGCAGGCCCCAGGTGCGTGGTGCTGGAGCCCGAGCGCGCGCTCGAGTGCGCGCCCTGGTTTCCGGCCGTCCTGAGACAAAGCGTCTGGCGGATTTGCGGTGCCGGGATGGCCTGCCTGGGAAGACGATTTGCCCGCCTCAAGAATGAATGAGCTCTGAGCGGGCGGAGGGAGGAAGGGGAGGGACCGGCCCGGAGCGTCGGCGTCCCGGAGGTGGTGGGGAGGGTTGTCCGGCTTTGGCGCGCTCAGTTTTGGCCCTGTGACACTTGGCGCTGGTTCTGCGCCTGCCTTGGGCGGGGAGGGAGAGGAGGGGCTTGAAGTGCGCGCCTCCTGCCTGCCCTAGAAGAGATAGATTTTTCAGATGTTTATGTTGCTCTTGGGAAAGGTGTCCTTTTTTGCCAGGACAGGCGCGCGGCCCTGGGTGCTTCTGCGCATGGAATTCTGAAAGCTGGGTTTGTGCACGTCGAGTCACGAATCACCCCTCGGGCAGCTGTCCCCCTACCAGCTTTTACCTCTGCGTAATATAGTCGGTTTTTCGGGTAGAGAGGCTGCTTAGCCTCCACGCCTGTCCTTTTGCTGACAGTAAGCAAATGTTGAGTATTTCATCGAGGGAGAGCTTGTAATTATCATTTCACCTAAGAGGGTGTGAGTTTTCAGTCCAGGGCAACAGGATAAACTCGTACATCTTTGCTGATCTTTCCTAGACTTTCTGATAAGCAGAAATGGTGTAATTGTCATCATAGGCAGTGAGTATTGAAATCATGCTTTAGAGATTTGCTAATGTTTGGATCCTGCATTCGTGGTGTCCATTGTCACTGCAAGTTGAAAGTTTTAGAGGGACCTTATTCTGGCTTTGACTCTGATTTTCCCTGGGTGTTTTTCGTCTTCATCTGTGTGAATGTCTCTGTCCCAGTACCTATGCGATTTTGTGTGTGTGTTGTCTGTGTGTGTTTTTCCACTTACCCTTCCTTATCAAATATTTTTAAAACTGTTCATAAAATTACAGTGGTAAACATGAAGAAGTATATGCTGGCTTATAATGAAAAATGAAAAGTCCTTTCCTGGAGACAGTCATAATTATCCCTTCTTATTTCCTGGAATATTTAATTCTTTTTTTTTTTTT